ATTCATTTTTTTCTCATTTGGATAGTGTTATTAATATGATTACATCATCTCCTAAGCGCATCAATGAGTTGAAAAGTGCCCAAAGAAAAGAAATTGAGCATTTGTTGGAAATTGGAGAACGAGAGTCCAGAAGTGGTGCTAATCAGATTGGTAATTTGCAACGAGCCGGAGGTACTCGTTGGTCTTCTCATTACAGCTCTGTAAAGAGTTTGATTGATATGTATGCTGCAACTTGCAAGGTGCTTGAGTATCTTAGTGATCATTCTCCAAATGTAAGATCTCGGTCCGAAGTTGGTGGTGTATACAAAACCATAACAACATTTGAATTTGTATTTATCTTGCATTTAATGCGTAGAATATTAGCAATTGCGGATGTTCTTTGTCAGTCCCTTCAAAAGAAAACTCAAGACATTTTAACTGTTATGAGATTTGTCCGTACTACAAAAACTATCCTTCAAACATTGAGAGAAGATGGCTGGGAAGAATTTCTTGAAGAGGTGAAATGTTTTTGCTCAAAAAATGATATACATGTACCTGACTTTGATGCTTCGTATATGGTTGGTCGTTCTCGTGGTCGTGAGTATCCTACCGTTGAACATCACTATCACTTTGATATTTTCAATGCAGCCATTGATTTTCTGATGATGGAGTTAGATACAAGATTTAATGAGACATCATTAGAACTCCTTTCTCTCAGTGCAGCTTTGGATCCAAAAGATTCTTTTGAATCATTTAACATTGATAATATTTGCAAGCTTGCAGAGAAGTTTTATCCTGAAGATTTTTCACAGCAAGATATTTATTGTTTGAAAGTTGAGTTGCAACATTATCAGAATGATGTGATTTCCGAACCTCGATTTCAAGTACCTACACTTTCTGATTTATGTCGAGAATTGGTTGCAAGTAGAAGGTCGGAGAGTTACGTCGTTTTGACTAAATTGATTTGTTTAGTACTCACACTACCTGTTTCAACGGCGACTGTGGAGCGAGCATTTTTAGCAATGAAACATGTGAAGACGGAAATTCGTAACAAAATGGATGATGGCTTTCTTGCTGATTGTTTAACACTAAATATTGAGCGAGAATTTAGTATGAATTTAGATCTAGATTCTATTGTAGATGAATTTTATGCTTTAAAACATCGTCGGGTACAACTACGATAGGTAACTTATATTATGAATTTTTCTTATTATATATAAATTTTATTTGTAGTTCGTACATTAAATTTTTAAAAATTTTTGCCCCCCGTACCATGAATTCCTGGCTCCACCCCTGGAGCTACCTCACTATTTTACTTGGCATATTGGGCTATACGTTATTCTTGGCCTGCCCATGTTCTAACATCGGGTTGAAACCCATATGATAAAACATGTTTTTAGAAAAGACAACTTCGCCTCTTTTCAAAATGGGTTGTATATGCCGTCCATGTCGCTTAATCTTGAACTTGGATTGCGTCCGTTAGTATATATTGCTATATATACTCGAGTCCATCTTCTTCCTTTTTTAGAGTGGTTTTCGTTTTCTCTCTATCTAAGATAGGGTTTCTCTAAAAATCTGTAACTATGATATTTGGATTTAATCTTTGTTCTTTTAGTAAGAGTGAGGATTACTTTGTGTAATCGTTGTGAGATTATGAACAATTTTGTTATCGATTGTAAATAGAGAGGTTAGAGAGAACTTGAAATATTTTTTCTTACATTTTGTACTGTTTTTTGGTTGATGTTAGTGGATCTAGAGCAATATTAACGGGTGATTAGGTCTCACGATTGAACATTAGGACCTTTTCAGGGCAAAACAATTTTTGGGTTCTTGCATTTTTAGATTTTCTGCACTTTACATTACTTTACAATTTTTACGAACTTTAAAGTTTTTCTGAACGATCTGGGTCTAACATAGAAGGCTACTATTGTTGCCAAGTATGATAAAATTGTCGACTAGTACAAAACAAACGTCATTGACAGTTCCTGTCAAAGAATGAAACGAGAGTAATGTGATATCGAGTTGCAAAATCCCCAATTGCCTAGTGCCTCTTTCAAACTAAAAAACCAGGCTTGTTGAGCTTGTTTGAGTTCTTACAAAGTATTCTTCAGAAGACACAAATCATTGGGTTTGTGAGGCTGAATGAAACCTTTTGGGTAGCTCATATAAACCGTCTTGTATGACTGACCATTGAAAATTGCATCATTGACATCTATTTGCAGAATATCCCAATTAAGTAAAACAACATTGGATAACCCAATTTGAATAGTGCCTGTTTTTACCAGTGGATTGAAGGTTCCTATGAAGTCAATTCTGGGTGTTCGTCAAGTGCATTTGGTCACTAGACATGTTTCGTAGTTGAATAGTTCCATCACGATTGAACTTCATATGGAACGCACATTTCTTGCATCCACATTGTAGGTCGAAGACACCCTAACAAGATCCCAATGGTAGTTTGAGAGGAGTGTGTTATATTCTTCTTCTGTTGCTAGTTTTCATTCAGGGCATGATAATGCTTGAGCCATGGAGGTAGGTTCAATAAAACCATAAATTTTTAGATTTGGACAAGTCATTTTATATAGAGTAATGCTATTCAACATTATTAATGTTTAAAATTAATTTATGTGACAGTGCTTGTGTTATTAAATTATAGATTCAATTAAATACAAGAATTTATGACTCATTTATTAAGACCCTTTGACTGCTATTCAATGTCACTAACGTTAAATAACATTATTCTTCTGAATAAAGTAGGATGCTAAGTATAAACATAAATTTTGTATCGATTGCTTTACATTAGTTACATAATGTCACATGTAGATACTTAGGGCCCATTTGATATGACCTTTGAGAAGCTAAAAGGAGCTCTTGAGATCCAAAAATTACTTTCGAACTGGTTTAGCTAATTTTGTTAAAGCACTCTTGATGGTTAAAAAAACTTTTAAAGAAAGTTGATCTAATGTGTACGACATATGTTGCCATGTGTCACAATTTGATTGACGAAATTCTTTCAATGTCCACACACCATCATTAGATGGATTTTCAAATGTTCAGGTTCCCAAACAATGTGCCTCGATCTGATGAAATTGTTAGTACCTTATAAATAATAAATGAAAATTAATTATAAATGTACGATTGAAATTAATATTCGACAATACTTTATAACCCATCCTGCTAACATACAAGCTTGCACCGCCAATTTCCTGGCACGACACTGTAAATTTCACATATTTGGGGTCCAATTTCCATTTTTCATTTATCTATTTATTATTGCTGTTATTATTGATTTTGTTATTGTATTTGCAGTATTCGCAAGCTGACGCCAAATTGCCAAAAGTTATTTGGCCATTTTGGAGACCTCCTTGGCATAAAAACCATCTATCTTCTTGGAGTCATCGTCATCCAACCATCATTCTTGTAATTGTCAACGGTAGGAAAGTGCAGATACACGTTATCCACACAGCAATGCCAAGCTTCATTTTTAAGGCATCCGAAACAATATAACTTGAAGAATGCGGCTTTACAGGCCCCTCACAGTGTGGAGGGGCCCACCTGTATTTAAAAAAAAAATTATTGTAGAGCCCACCTTGAGTCTTCCCTAACAAGGGCCTGATTCCTATAAATGTATCATCACTCATATAACTTTTAGATGTTTAACGAGCGTTTATATCCGACTTATATATAAATAAATTGAAATGAACGGTTAATAAATGATTAATATTAGAGTCCGTTTGATAACATTAAATTTCATGAAAAATGTGACATTGGAGTAATTCATATTTTACTTTGATTGTTTCATATGAAATCGAAAAAGAAGATCGATTCCAAAGTACAAACACGTAAAACATATTTTTAGCCAATTGAGTGAAAATCAAATTCCTAAAATTTTGCCAATTTTTTCTTTTCCAACTTACACGGAGTTAACTTGCCATTTCCACCTTTACAATCGAACAAGCCCTTAGAGATTTCCACAAAATATGTAAATAAAAATTAATTTGACTTTTTTTTTTGAATTTTTTATAAGCACTTCCAAAATATATGGCTAGATTCATTCTTTCCTTTCTTCATTCCCCAACCTCAGGGATTAGGTACCCAACTGCAAATTCATCATTCAATTCATCGTCCATTGAGTCTGAGATGGCCATTATTGCTTCAGGAAAAATAAAAATGATTCTTGTAGCTCGACAACTATAAAATAAAGATAAATTGCCTAAAACAAAAAGGTACATATTTAGATTTAAATAAAAACATAAAAACTTTTTCACGTGAAAAACAATAATACATAATATTTCATTATCCATCTTTGATATTTTTTCATTACTCGTATTCTCAAGACACTGTCATTTTCTTATTCCCCTAATTTAACCACAATTTCATCTTTTCTAACACAAGTTAATTAATTTCATCAATTTTCAATTCTCCATGCGCTACAAAATTCTGCAATTTTCAGTCCAGATTATCCTTCAATTTAACCAATTCCCATTCCCCATTAGAATTCAATTGCTTGATAAAGATCGAACTCACCCTAAGATAGTGTAAAGCAAAGGGTTCTCGAACGTGGTTAGAAGTTTCTCGATGCCACCGGTGAACTGGGAGGTTCACCAAGGTCTCAACCTTGGGATACCGATTATTTGACGGTCACCTCCCCCAATTTCAAGCACATTGAACATTTTAAGATTAGTGTCATTTTTACCGGATGGATGGATGGATGAATGAAATAGTGATAATTTTATTGTGGTTGTTTAATGGCAAAATCTTGCTCATTGGCTCTCCGATAAAGCAGGGCTGATGCTTCCACCCTGCACATATTATTTAGTAGGAAAATAAAATTCAAATGTCAAAAAATTAAATCATGCTACGTGTACAGGGGTTTGCCCGGCAGTTAGATTAGAACGCCACAGGGCAGCGGTGCATTGGCCTGCTTAGATCTTTTTTGTCCAACATCCAATGCAGCTAAGCCACCTGGCATTCTCCTGGGCAAACTCCCCGTAGAAAGGGGCTTAACTCAAGAAATTAATGCTATGGCAAATAAAGACTGCGCTAAAATTAATCAACTGCAATTCTTACCAGCCAGGATGCACAACAAATCTTCCCGTGGAAAGGGCCCAGTTCACCTGTTTTGAATAACTAAAAAAATCAGACATTGTTTACCACCAAAGAGAGGAAAATCAGAAAAGAGCTCGGATCGAACGAGAAAAATAATCTATAAAAATAATTTCTAAATTACAGATTGGCTTAGGGAAACCAATCACACTGGTTTGTCCAACCAACTAAGGAATACCTTATCCGTCCCAAGAGAATTGGCAACTACATGGGTGACCTGCTCATCTATCTGATTAGTGCACACAGCACCAAATTGTTCAGCCGTCTGCCACAATGGATGCATGTGAGGATTTGTTTCACCCACTGGAAACACTCTGCTGAAGACAATTCGACAACCAGCCAGAATCTTATTTTGTTCAGAAGCTAAGATGTTTCTAACATCAGCTTCATCTAAGGACTGGTGTGCAAAAAAGGCCTCGTGTATTCTCTCAATAACCTATGTTTAACAACAAAACTAATCAAACACAGAAGGTAGACTAGGCATCCACTGCCCTTGTCATTTTGTCCAAGTCCACTCAAGGTTTTATTAACCAATTAAAAAGTCATGCCATGCAAGCTAAACCATCTCACCGCTAGAGAAGAGGCCAAAGTCCCATCTTCTGGTCTCTCGTCATGATCAATCTCAAGGAGAGAAGGGCCGGGCAGCCCAAATTGCCGTCTACTACATGGAAAATAAATATACCTGATGAAGAAAAAAACAATGAATATTCAATCATAAGAATCAACAAGTGTATAGATCAAGCAGTAAAATCTGTTGAGCAATATCCTTTTCTCCTTGACAATACAAATCTTTACCGTTCAACAGCTATCAAGTTTAGTTTGTTGTGTGGCCAGACTCGCACAGAATCATCTATAATTACTACAGCCGACTCCATACCCAAGACACCCTCCAAGTCCTTGCTCTTAGGAACCCTATCTTCACTATCAAAAGAATCACCATCATCACCACGAGAGATAACTCGACCAGCAAATAACTCCCCTTTCGGATCAAGCAGTTTAGCCATCTCTGTGGCATAAAACTTGTTCCCCATGGTGTACAGATGCAGCTCATATAGCTTACTAGCCTAAAATGGCAAGAGCAGAAGCTTCAGGAGACATTCAAGGGACCAATAGAGATTCAAATCAAAGTACAGAAATAATATTATCACCTTCTCCAAGAAATTCCATATCCCCGGCCGCAATTTGGTCCACATTCCCATATGAGGAAAACGAAATAGATGCCTGTGAGGCTTTTCACGATCTTGCTCCTCTTTCTTTCTCAAGATTTCATCATGCGGCGGATCTACTTCGACAAACTGAAAAGGAAACAGAAGTTTGTGATAATCTTTTTCATAAAACAATATCATAATCTGGCAGTTCTCAGGCTTGCATTATATTTAGTAGCAGCAAAAAAAAGTCCATGCCTTGGCCGAATTTAGAAGTGTGTGATCCAGATCCAAGACAAGACAGAGCTTGCGAGCACCAAACATTTTCTTCTGTTCTTCAATCCTCCGCGTCCTTTCTCTCTGAATAGCTGCTTTTTGCTGATCGTCAAATCCCTCAAACAGATGATCGACATCCCTAAACGCATTCTGTGGTCGTGATAAGGCTGCAGTCACTTCTTGAGAAGCTAAGCCAATTCCACTTCTAAGGTTGTTGGACTCAGACGCTACACCCTTAGTCTTCATTTTACCTTGATTAACTTGTGCTGGTTGTGATGACGAAGCCTGAGGAAAGACAGGTGGAGATATCGATGCTTGAGATGCAGACAGAATGTCTGCGATGTTTTTCAAGTTTTTAGTGAATTGCCGTGTAATATCAGGTGCAGCAATCGAACTTGAAGAGACGGGCTTCCTATCCAACTGATCCTCCTGCCTTTGGGCACCCAAGCTGCTTGTCATTCTCTGACTGACTGCGGGATTAGTTTTTGGTTGATCAGGACCCACAGTCCCACCCTTTTGAGATGTACCATTATGAAGAACACGGCGTGGGTCACGAGGTTTCATGCGCACTTTCCCAGATTCTTCCTGCAAAAGACATAAATTGCAAACAAAATGAATATTAACATTTGATGAGCAAATGAAAATAACAAAATATTTTATTGACAAACAGGGAATTTTCCTTTATTCCAATTTGATTTAGAACCATGGAGAATAACTCCGGCAAGTTACATTGTAATGTCTAACCCTAGTAAGAGTTAGATTATTTGATGTAGCATTCTACTCGAAGGAATCAGTTGCCGAGCATGGCAGTATAAAAAATTGAACTAAAAATAGAAAGAAAAATGTATAAATCTATCAAGACTGCAGAGAAGACAATATATACAAACACCACTAGCCAGAAGGCAGAAAGGACAAACTAATGAGAATTCATCAAAAATATATAATGTGCAAAAATGCTCACCATAGAAACTGCCTGTAGAGGAGACTTAAGTAATCCTGCTGATAGGTGTCCAGCCACGAGGGGCTTGGATGGAGGTACTTTAATTGATGGAACTGCTCCCAGTATAGAATTTGAGGTTGGCGGTGATGTCATACTTTTGATAGAATCAACAGACTTCAACTGTTCCATCTTAAGTATGTTCATCCATATAGATGGGTTCCCAGCTATATCTTTCAACAGAGAATGAAAGGAAGCTGTATTAGTAGGATCTGACACTGGCAAACTTGGAACTGTTACTGGTAGGCTTGCGAATGGACCTGTTACTGGTAGGCTTGTAAATGGACCTGTTGCTGACAGGCTTGTGGATGGACCAGTAGCTGGTAGGCTTGTTGGTTGACTTACAACTGGCAAGCTTGTGATTGGACTTGTTACTGGTAAGGTGGCACATGGACCTACACTTTGGAACTTCTCATTTCCATTGCCTTTCTCGGTAGTAGTAATGCTACTGGAACTGATGCAAGTTACTGTATCTTCTGTTTTTCTCAGATCAATTCCAGAGTTTCCATTTTTTAGCTGCATGCCAACTGATCCTAGGTCCTCCAACCAACCACCAGTTTCGGTAACAGTATGCAGATCGTTTCTTTGCCTTTTCAATGCAGGACCAAACAAAACTGGCTCATTGACTGTCTTCTGCTTCCTTGAACTCATCATTCCTAAAGACTCTACTTTGGGCTCAGTTCTCTCCATAGGTAAAAGGGATTTATTTAGATCCCTGGCACCTGCATCAGAATTGACCAGTCTAAGCCTAGGGTCCCTACTCTTCGCTGATGAAGATTTCAACACAGAATTTGGCAAAGGAGTCATAGGGCTAGTGGTCCTAGTACTGCTATGTCCTTGTCCAGAAGTGATATCCATATCGGCAACAGAAGAAACAGATGATTGTCCAACAACTGAGGTGTTAACAGGAACATTACTGCGAGGAATAGAAGCACTGGAAACCTCCCCGCCATTATCAACATCCCCACTATCACCTTCTTCCGAAGGAGTTGGACTCGGAAGCTTGTCACTCATGAAAATGGAGCTTCGACCAAATTTCTGTTGATAGGTGGAAAAAGCTTTGACAGCATCAGTTTCATTAGGATGCATTATAACGTTTCCGCTCTCAAGAGTCCGTCTGGGCACAGGCCACTCTGGCTTCACCAACCCATGTTCCAATACAAATCCTTTATCAAAGGGCAAGGGTGGAAATGTTTCTCTGGTGGGTGATGGAAGACTATCTGCATCGTGATCTTTATGAAGGTCTAGCAGGGGAAATACTAATCCTTTATGCTTAGCATTACCAACCAATGATTTTGCACATTCTAATGAAACCCTACACTCATTTAGAACTGATGATCCAGTAGACATAGATTCTATCTCACTCTTCTTCACGCTAGTTGAAACGTTATTAGCATTGTCAGACCACACATCAGAATCAGTATTTATAGGCGCCTCATCCACTGATTTATCTGTATCTGTGTTATTGTCTTTAAGGTTCAAAGAAACAGCTGAAAAATCCACGGAAGATCTAATAACCTCCACCTGTGACACCCACACACCACAATCAGTTCTAATAAATACTAAAAATCCTACAATTGCAATACACTGAGGAGAACCTCACCATTTTCAACTGCTGAAAGGAAAAAAGAGGCACCTTTAGATTCATTACATATGCAAGGAACCTGTCAACAAATTAAGAAGGATCTTAAGATATCTGTAACTCTGCTGTTAGGACATATAAAAAAGTTCCCAAATAGACAACAAAAATAATTACTATTTAAACCTTGACAAAATGTCCCTATTCTGTTCTTTTTGAGTTCGATTCATGGAGCAGAACACCTGAAAAAACAACCTCAGTCTTTATCTAAACAATTACAGAATTACTACAGGACTGAACGGGAAATATAGCTACAAAAATGTTGATAAATCTAAGGATACGAAAAGAAAATTTATGGAGAAAATGTGGGGCATTATATACATTGTAATATATCTTACAGAATAAACAATGTTTATTGCACCAAATAACAGTTGAACAAGAGTCTCTTTCTCAGGAATCAAACTTTCCGAACCCAATTCCAGCACGCTGTCCATCAAGCTTTGCAATCTCAAACACAGTCCACCAAATGATCTATCCAAAAAACCAAAAAAATTTCAACAAAATTAATCACCCATAAGGCAGCATTCCGCGATACTAATGTTTATCAATGCAACTGTCAATTCTTTTCAGTCAACTTACTCTTCTGCATCAGCTGCAGTCAGACTCTCGAGCTCTTTCTTAATCAAATCAAACTGCTGCTTCTCCAACTCAACATTCTCTTTCGAACCAGGCTCAGCCTCATTCTCAATCCCCATATTCAAATCCATATTCTCCTGAACAACCTCAGATTCCAAATCAATCTCACCCTCCTCCAATTCCCCTTCCTCCTTCTCATCCTCGTCCTCCACATCAATCACAACTTTACTTCCAATCCCAGCAGATTCCACACACTCGGATTCCATCCTCTTTGAATTCGAGTTGCTGCTATTGTTATTATTGTCACTATTACTGTTATTATTTGAATTATCCTCCATCATGACTAAAACCTCATCAAGGGGCTTATTGTTGACAGCCTGAGCCCAAGCCAAGTTATACAAACCCGAATAATTCCTTGAACTGATCTGATACTTGTACAGATCTCTCATCGTCCAAACCCTAGTTCCTGTTCCTCCAACACTATTCTGACTCTTATTATTATTGTTGTTAACATTAGTATTATTGGAAGCACTGGTAATCGGATTAACATTAGCATTGGCAGACAACGGCTGCAGCTCTTGCTTGGAATTAAACGCCTCTTCGGTAATTTCTTCGATAGAGACGGAATCTGAGATCTCACCCTCCTCTACATCGAGAACTTCAACTGCTACTTGTGGTTGTTCAGAATCCCGTTCCATTTGTATAAATACTAGGGTTTTTTCCTTAAATACTTGAAATAAAAATGTCAAATTCAAATCACCCACAAGCATATGTTAATTACCCAACAAATATCAGGAAATCGAAATAAATTCTTATATACAAGGAAGATCTTGAGTTTGGTGCAAAAGAATATCGATTAAAAAGTGAAAAAGGAAAGAAAATAATTTCGTTCAAGATTTAGGGTTTCTTGGAAAAAAAAAAAGGGAAATAAATTGGAAAATTTTGAAGTTTCTAAAAGATCCGTGAGATTTGGGAGCTTTAAAAAGATGATTTCGTTTTCAAAAACTCAGATCTAATTAGATGGTAAATTGAAACACTGAATGATCTTGTAAATTCTTCTGTTCTGTTTATTTCAATTAAAAACAGATAGAGATAGAGAGTGTATAAAAGGAATCGGAGACCGAAGAAATAGAAAGTAGAATAGTGGAGAGAGGAGGAGAGGAAAGCTTAAAATAAATTGTAGAGACCGAGACGGACGAGAATCTAAGGGTCGTTTCGGGGTTCTGATAGAGTATCAGCACCGTACACGTCATCTCGTATCCGCGTTGGTTACAGTAGGGTGGGACCAGAAAATCATTGGTGGCTGGTTCACCTGGGTCATGTGCCAAGGCTGAAATTATATATTTTTATATTTAAAAATATATTGGGGATTTTCATTTTGGTTTTAATCACTCCGTCGGGGCTTTAATATAACCTTCTTGGTCACCCAACTAAGATTTATCCCTTATTTGAGTACATTATTTTTCTTAGATTGTATTTTTGAATAGTGTATTGATGGAAAATATATTATTAAAATATAAAGAAAAATTTTGAATTTGAGTGTAATATAATTTTATGGAAAAATGTGTAGTTGAAATAATATCAAATCACTGTTTAAAAAAAAATATTTTTTTTTTTAAATGTGGCTCAAACATGGCCTTAGTTTCAATTTGACCATTCATTTTTTGTAAGTTGTTGTACAAGTTTATGTTTTATTGATATCATATTAATAACTTCTCGTTATAATTTTGGTTTGTTGGAGATAAATGAAAGTTATAATCAAGGTGCATATTAAAAGGAATTCTATTTGGAATACTTTTAGAATTATATTCGAAGTCTATTTGATAAATTATAGTTGAAATTCTATTTGAAAGCTTATTGGGAGTTGAAATTTGTGTTGGATTTAAAGAAATCCAGATAAAGAAACTTTTTGGAAATATATTTTATCTACAATTCTATTTCTAGGGTTTGAATTATTTCCTATATATATATACACCTAACTACAAGTTATAAAAATCATAAACACATAGGGTGTGTTTGAGCCACATTATTTTTGAAGAATATATTTTACAATAGTAGATTGATGGAGAATGTGTGATTAAAAAAAAAATTGATTTCTGTGTGATATTATTTTAATAAATAATATGTGGTTGAAAAGAAAGAAAAATGTATTTTTTGAAAAATTGGAATCAAACATTCTCCATATTATAATAAAATCTCTATCTTATTTTCTTTTTGTATTCTTGTGATCTTTACTTCATATAATTGTCTTAATTTCTTATCTTTTTTATAACAAATTAGTATCGAGGTGGTTCCGTTTTCAATAAAATGATTTCAAAATTGGTCCGATTTATAACAAGTGGTATCTGAGCTTTTGGTTTTAAAGTTCTTGGAAAGATCAAGGTTTTCCATCATAGCAACTATAAAGTATGATATTCCGCTATTAAATCGCAATGCAATATTCTCTTTTGTGGAAGGTAAAGATGCGAACAGTACTTGCTCAGATGGATTTAGACAATGCATTGTTGGGATTTGACAAGATGCTGATAGCTTGGACTATGGAGAAGAAACAATGGAGGGATCATAAGGTCATATCTTAAATACATTTTCATCTTTCCAGTAATATTCTTCAGGACGTTTTGAAAGAGAAGTCAGTTGTTGCTAGATGGTTAAAATTGGAGTAATTATGCATGATGAAGAGTTCTACTAGCAAATTGTATCTAAATCAACGTCTATATTTTCATCGTATGATAAAATGTACATCTCTTGAAAATCACCTAGCTGCTTTTAAAAAAATTGTCGCTGGTTTGGAGATCTTGGAGGTCAATATGATAAATATGACTTCGGATTTATTTTGTTACATTAATTGCTCGCCCCATATATGTCTTTTAGAGACAAGATACTATGTAGTCGTGATACTTTTACAATTGAAGATGTTTACGATGCTCTATGTTAATAGGATAAGATGAAGCTTGTAGCATTTGAGGATCACGGAGATGGTCTCATTGTTTATGGTGGCTGTTTAAGGGAGAAGTCAAAATCTAATTTCAAATTCTGTAATTATTGCAAGAAAAAGAGACACTTTGTTAACAATTGTTATAAGTTATAGAATAAATCAAAGTCAACTGCAAATCAACAATCAAAAACTTTAAAAGAAACAAGTATTGCAGAAAATCCTAGCAGTGATAGAGAGCTTGTACTTATGTCTGACTACAACTCCAAACCTGACAATGCTTGAATCTTGGATACAGCTTGCACTTTTCATATGACTTTAATCGGGATTTGTTTTCAACATATGAAGAAATTTCAAAAGGTGTTGTCATGATCGATAATAACACACATTGTCGGATAGCTAGTATTTTTGGGGCTAGAATAAAGATATTTTATGGGATGGTTAGAATACTTGATATAGTGAGACACGTCTCTAATCTGAAGAAAAATCTTATCTTATTGAACGCTCTTGATTCAAAAGGGTACAGGTACACTATTGAAGTTGGAGGTCTGAAAGTTAACAAAGGAGCCCGTGATGGGATATAGAAAATCCCATTTATATATCTTGCAAGGTGATATAGAATCTTCGAATAATCAGCATATTTTAAGAACTTGGGTGTATTTAAAGTTGGCTTCTGTTGGAGTCTAATTTGTTGTCTTCGTTTAAGAATACATCTCAATCGAATTTTGAGATATGGGTAAATCCGTCTTGCCACCATTATCGACGGTGTTATCATATAAACTTGCTAGAAATAGACTCATTTTTTTGGCCATAACATTCCATATTAGTACAATTCTATTGATTTTGTTGGAGTTTATGAATGCGATTAAGGTGTAGATTCTAGCCAAGATTATTCTTTTGAAGCATTCAGTTGTGATTCTGTTAAAGGGCTCGTGTCAGCCTTGTTTGATGGTCATTAGATCACTTTTGTCCTAGTTAGGGTAGTAGAGGTGGAGAATTTTTCAATTGGAATTGTTGATGGAGAAGTTCATTTGTATTTTTCATTGAAGAGTTCAAGTTTATTCCTTGCAGGGAAATTTGTTTCCAAGTAGAGAATCTTTTTAAATTTTATTCATTGCAGTGAAATTTATGTCAATGTGAATATTATTAGAATTTGAGTGTGATTCGAATTCTTTGTTGGAAATAATTGAAAGTTCTAATCAAATTGCACATTAAAATGACTTCTATTTGGAATGCTTTTGGAATCCTATTCGAAATCTATTAGATAAATTATAGTTGAAATTCTATTTGGAGGCCTATTAGGAGTTAAAATTTCTATTGGACTTAAAGAAATCAAGATAAAGAAACTTTTGGACATTCTATTTCATCTATAATTTTAATTCTAGGGCTTCAATTGTTCTCTATACATATTTGGCTATTCTCTATAATTTAGTTAGGTTGATAAACCTCATTATAAGTTAAACAAATCATAAATACATAATCTCTCTATTCTTTCTTCATATTATAATAAAATCTCAATCTTCTACAAATTATTTTTTCTTGTGTTCTTGTGATATTTGCTTTATATAATTGTCTTAATCTCTTATATATATAACAAATTGGTATCAGAATAGTTCCGTTTTCAATAATATGGTTTCAAATCTGGTACGATTCATAACACTTGCCCACCGTCAACCCATAGAAATGTTGAGTTGACAAGCGGAAGATGATGTAAATTAAGCCTCCGCTTGATAAATTGTACTTATAAATTATTTATATTGTCAAACTTTATTTTAAATCATACATTTAAATAGACTTATTCACTAGTTAATTATTTATATTTATTTATTCAAACAGAGGCTAAACTTGGTATATCACTAACCTTCATTCTATCTAGCGTAAACCTTTTTCCACAAACACATTTTTTCCCAAAGTTGTTGGAACAATTATTTGAAAAGATGGCAGATACTTGAAGAAATCGAATTCTATTTGAAGGTACTTACAATGTCATTTTTCTTAAAACATCATTTGTCCCATTAGAATAATTACATACATGGAAATGCAAAGATGCCTATAGGATAAAATGGACCTTTTTTATAATTGTCTACACAGTTCTCAAAGACAGTAAGTATAAAATTTACGAACTCCACTTGACGTAAAGAAGTTTCTTTCACAAGGCTTCTACAAATTATACACAATTGAGGGTCGGTGGGTATTCTTTTAATAACATTTTACTCACATGGGGTCCACCCTCACGTGAGTATTCTGGTTTCATTCTGTAATACATTATTCTGTACAGACAGAATAATGCAAAATCTCCACTTACCTTGACCTTAAAAAGGTTTTTGGGGATAACTTTCTTTTGATTTTTGGTTTATTTTTTCTTCATTTAGATGAATCCAAGATTTTCTTTTTATTTTTTATTTTTAGGATGAATGAGAGAGTTAGATACATTGATGTTAAAGGCAAAGAAAATGAGAGAAGCTGGAACTGAAGGCATAAAGAAAGTAGTGAAGTAAAGGAATCAACAATTAGAACTCGTAAAGAAATTTCCAGAGTGGCAAGTTTGACGCCAAAATTTTCACAAGGAAAATATATCATCGGAAAGTTTATCAAGTCAAGAGATCAACTTGTTTGATATATTTCAATTTAGACTTTGCTACTAAAACTTATGCTTATTTTTGTCACTGTTGCCTTGAAGTACGAACAACTCGCTTGAGTCGAGTCATTGTCCACTTAAGAGAGCAAAAGCAGAAATAAAAATCCATCTTCGTCTGCTCGGACGGAGGGGACCCTTACTTGAAGGTCATGAATTGCTATTAAGTTGGGAATTTCCAAGGATATTTTACCCGAGAAAACAAGACACGAGAACAAATAAATAAATAAATGAAAACATAGAGTTTGGAAGAAAAATAAGGTTGAAGATAAAGACAAGTAATGGGTTTCCCAAGTTTGAGCCCGAAGATCCAAGATTTGCTATATGTTTTCTTACCTTATCTTGATATTGGCGATGTCGTTCTTATTGAATTTATTTCTATTCTTCAAACATAGGTAGCTAAATTTTTATTTGCGAGGACGAATGAAATTTTCATTTTTTAAGATATAATTGAAATTTCTTGTTATGATTTACAAGTATCAATTAGTAATTGATTATTTGTTATTGTTTTCATGCTTTACTTTTGTCTTGGAAAATATTAGGATAAATTGTGAATTGAAATAATATTGAGAGGTGAAATACGTTTTTAGGTCTAATAACA